CTCCGCGAGACCACTGTCATCAGTCACCGAATGAACCTTCAAACTCCGCGAGACCACTGTCATCAGTCACCGAATGAACCTTTTTTAACGCTCAATGATTAATGAAATGCCACTTACAAAAGAAAATGTTTATCAAAACCACCCCCCCCCTTTTTTTTTTAGTGTAAGTGTGTGTGTGCGTATGTGTTCCATATGAGCGTAACCAACCAAACGCTGGGTAAAATGGTCGTTTTGACAGGCACTTCACAATCAGGCCCGTTTACATTGTAAGAGATATGTTAACGGTATACGTAGCTTAATAAAATCTCGTCCTACACCCAATATTGGTTGTCCTACCCTCCCCCCCCTCTCCCCACTCCCCTAAATGTCCAAGTTCAAACACACATCCGCACTTTTAAAAAGAACGGACTGATTTAAAAGTACGCAGTGGCGTCTCCAGACAGAACAAAGGCCGGGGGCTGGATGTGGGAGGCATACGTGTTACGACATGATTACAAGAATAGTTAAAAAGTGTGTGTTTGTGTGTGTGTGGGGGGGGGGGGGGAATTTCTTTTTGTGTGTGTGTGGGGGGGGGGGGGCATTTCTCTTATGCGTTCATGTTTCTTGTAATAGTTGGAAAAACAAACAAAAAACAAACAAACAGAAACCACACAAAAGGGTATCTGCTGGGTTGATCCCCACACGCTGTTGAGGCCGCCGATGGATGTGTGTGGAAAAAGTCACCAAGCCTAACCCCCAAATTTCCCAGACCTGAGTAGCGAGCTAGAGAAGGGTTGCAGTATTGGACTTGCCTCAACCTACCTGCTCGGTGGCCAACCACACAATGGTACGCTGTCGTCTGGTTAATCTGTGGACAAACAAACCAGCAGTAAATTACACCGTCCGGGTGGGGGAACCTGGTCTATGAAGAACATGTTGGAGACAGACCTCTAAATGATGGGACGAAGCGACCGGGTTGACAAATACTTGATGGCATTGCTAAAAACAATGGCTTTGTGACAGTGACAGAGATTTGTAACAGTGACAAGTGTTTGTGACAGTGACACGGGTTTGTGACATTATCATGGGTTTGTGACGATGACATAGTTTTGTGACAGTGACATAGGTTAATTTTGATTTCAAAAAGACATTTTAATCTAGTTCAGTGGTTCTCAACTTTCCTAATTTCTAACATTAATTTCGTTGCAACTTCATAAATATGTGTTTTCCTATGGTTTTAGGCGACCCCTGTGTAAAATAGAATATCCACAAACCCATAGAATATCCACAGACACAGATAATATCCACAGACCCATACAGACTAATAAAGAGCGTCAACGTCACCACGCCGCTGCAAGCACGTGCCTAGTCCGCTGCAAGCACGTGCCTAGTCCGCCGAAAGTGCCAACTACGGCCGCCTCGATGCACTCTTGCAACACGCTGAAATCAATGACTTGGACACCCCTGGTCTTTACCACAAACTAAAGTCAAAGCACCGAAAATGAAAATGAGCTCGTCACTGGCACCAGTTAAGACTAAAGCATTCTATCAGCAAAGCAGTTTGCAGTAAAGTCAAGCAGAGGAACGTGAACAAGTCAAGCAGAGGAACATGTAGCAGTCAAACAGAGGAACCTGAACCAGTCAAGCAGAGGAACGTGAACCAGTCAAGCAGAGGAACATGAACCAGTCAAACAGAGGAACCTGAACCAGTCAAGCAGAGGAACGTGAACCAGTCAAACAGAGGAACATGAACCAGTCAAACAGAGGAACCTGAACCAGTCAAGCAGAGGAACGTGAACCAGTCAAACAGAGGAACATGAACCAGTCAAGCAGAGGAACATGAACCAGTCAAGCAGAGGAACATGAACCAGTCAAGCAGAGGAACGTGAACCAGTCAAACAGTGGAAAGTGAACCACTGAATTAATTTTTATTTTATTTATTTTTAATGAAAACGTCGTACCTTAATAGAGCAATTTTTTTCTTTCTCGCATTTCTCAACGTGTTGACCGAACGCCGTCATTAATCCTGACACCATCGTGAATAGCAGCAATGACTCCGATAATATCATTTTGGAATTCCAGGCTGACAAGCACTTTATGCACTTTCACGCGATGACCGATTTTACCTAAATGCATCTTAAAAGTTGCAATATCGTAAGAATCGTTCACATTTTTCTTGCGACTATAACCAAGTCAAGGGGCTCTTCGAATAATTCCTTGTAATTACTGAATTTCGTCATAAGGTTTGTTTATGGGTGAAATTAAAGCTCCAGAGGAATTTCTTTAATTTTTTTTTTTTTTTTGAAATATTGATTGCGTTTTGTATTATCATAAGTATTAAAACTTTATTCAAAGCAGTGAGAATATATTTTGTTCAAGTAACGTATATATTAGATATATAAATAATTTATAAATATATTTAAATTTATATTTATATATATCCCAAAGAGCAACGTTGCGATCGTCCAAATAAACTTCCCAAAGTATGAAGCTCTTTGACTTTATATACCCCGATTTCAATGAAAGCCGGGAAATTGTGCTACCAGATCTTGGGAAATTTCCCCAGATCTTGGGAAAGGTATCGGTAATCGGTTTAAATTGTGAATAATTTTGAAGATATGTAAATTCGGTAGAGTGGGAATAGATCTGTTTCTCTGGATATCTGGGTGGAGAGGATTAGACAATTTTAATATCCCTGAAGATATAAAAAGTTTTTAAAAACTTAACGTTGACAGAACGTTAACTGCGGCGGTAAATATAATGACACTGTGACGATGATAAAGACGTGGGCCTACCTATGTTTTATACTATCACGTTGTTCAAGCAGCGAAGACCTGCAACAAAGGTCTATTTTCGTCAGTCATTATTAACTTTTTAGCTTGTTTAAATAAAAGTGTCTCTCATTAGTCATTACTACATGAGAAATTCGCGATTTGATTAAAATGATGTTAAATTTAAAAGGTCTTTGAAGAAACTTCAGCAATTAATGAATTATACGTGGACTAGGCAAATATAACGTTTTGTTAAAAGTGCACTTTGCATACAATTAAAGAAAATGAGTTCTTTTGTTGATCAAAAAATGTTTTTTTTAAAATGTTTTTTGTTGTTGTTTATTTATTAACTTTTTTTTACATTGTATTGTACAGATTCATTCTCGGCACTTGACCTTGAATCAATATTCTTCCCAAGACAATGTTTGAAAATTAAATCAAACTAAACACGAGACATCTACATTATTTCTCAACCCAATCTTTACTGTGCATCCTAAAAAGATCCTCCTATGGAGACATCTTGACGTCATCATGATGACCCAAATGTTCATGAACTGAACCAATCGTAAACCAACACTTCAAGGACAGCGTCCATGTTGCCAGTAGGGATGTTAACCCGTTTTTGTTTTTGAGAATGCCTGGGCAGACTTTAAAGAGAGAATATTCCAGTACTGTAATACTTCTGGGGGAACCCTTACCCAAATGATAACATTTTTTAAAAATACATGGTAAAAAAAAAACTAAATTAAAAAAAACAAAAAAACATTGGTTTTTGGTTTAAGGAACCCGGTTTTAAACCATATTTCGGATTTACCATCAGGCCCCCCAAGTCCTGCAGGAACCGCCTTCACATGAAAATTAAATGGTAAATTAAAATAGCCAACATGTTTGCTTCAGAGTGGGGGTGGGGGTCTTCAGTGAGTACCCCCCCCCCAACCCCGGACTTCCAAACAACGCATTCTAAACCTTTGCTCATAGCCAGGTCAGCTATGATCTTCTATAAGACAGTACCATCCATAATGGAGGAAAAGGGCGCGGAGAGGGAGACTTTATTTTAATGTTTTATTTATTTATGTTTGTTTTGAATGGAATTTTGGTCCACTTTATATACTGAAAAGGTATTATTTTTATTTTGTACACTCTGTATATTTTAGCTTTTGTTATTTTGGGGTTGGTGTAGGTGTAAAATTATGGAGACTGCGATCTGCTAACTTGTTAATATCTATCCCACAATGCCCACAATAAACACCTACTACAATAACGAGGCGACCAAATTCCTTACACCTTTTATACTTTATACAAAACTTTATTATTATCTTTTAAAATTTATTCATTAAATAATAAAAATAATACATTTACTTTTGATTTAATTATTATTATTATTTTTTAATTTTTAATTTTTTTTCTTCATCCCGCGTCATCAAAAATATAATGACACTGTAACAAAATACATTTTTTTAAAAACATTTTTTTGATCAACAAAAGAATTCTATCTCAACAGAAAACAAATCTCGTGTGTCGCCCTCTGATGACTATCGCCCTAGTTACTGATGCTAGCTTTTTTTAAAAAAGTTTTTTTCCACCCAATATTTATATTGAACTAGGTCAGAATAAATGGCTAATTGTATATAATTCAGCCGATTAGAGTTCTATTAATCTCTAAACAAGTAGTATTTAGATGGACTTGCGTCTTTGAATCCATTTCTTTTCGTTGCACATTAATTAAATTATTTTTTTCGTTATCATATTTTAATGAACCGGGGAAATCTGGGGAAATTTTGGACTGAATCTGTGGAATTTTTTTTTTCCATTGCTTGGAAAGGGAGACCATTCTAGCATTTTAAAATATTCTTTGTTTTACCAAACATTCAATGATAGGTTCTATCAAAGTAGGCAATATAAAAGTATAGATGCTAAAATGATTAAATGCATTTTCTTGAGTGAATTCCATCACATACAAGGACCAATAATCAGTCATCAGGTAAACAAAAATTAAGATGTACAAAAATTAAGGTGAGCTAGTCCAAACTAAGAAAGGCCCACAAAATAATAATAAATAATAATAATATGATGAAGTTCAATGTAAATAGGCATAGGCTAGGCATAGGCATAGGCCTAGACTCTATAGCCGTCTACAACAGTCTATTCAAGTATTCAGGTGAAGCAGCGATCGCTACGGTTTTCTCTTTACAGGTAGTAAGCTGAAAATGTTTTGCCAGTCATTTGATCATTTGTATATATATTAAATAAAAGCGTTTATGTAGGGGATTATATTTGTGTGTGGAAATATAATACAAATCAACTTTGACTTTGAAGACGAATTAAGAAAATTAATTTAATTAAACTGTAAAGTTGAAGTGCATTGATGATTGATTGAGAAGACTTGACACTGACACCTGAAAATTTAATGATAAATGTAATGTAATCACTTCACAAATTAAACTTTGTAATTGGTATCAAAATAAAGTCGTAAGTAACGTGATCTATAACTATAATTTTATTGTTAATTTTAGTTTCATTGCAATTACTTTGAGATGCTTTTAAATTCTTATTTGATGTATCTACTAGTTAATAATAATCAAGCTCAAAATTTTAAATACATCTAAAATGCTCAAAAGCATATTATCCGAAAGGGCTGGCTTTTACTTTTAGCTTTCCATTGACACTTAGATTATCTCTGTCACTTTTACTACTTTTAGAATAAAGGTTATGATTTTTAAATCTTTCTTTTTTCAATTTTAAGCCATTTTAGCCATGTCAATCATATGATGCAAAATTACTAGTATTTTAAAATTTAGTCTGTAACTGTAACTTTCTTGTTTTAAAAGTTGCAGCAACCAAATTTTGAGGAGATCCTAACAAAACAATATTGAGAAAAATAAAACACATAAATTATCAATTATTTTTTTTATTTTATTAAATTAATAATATCAGATAAGGATAGCTTTTGGTGAGTAATGACGGTTGAAACTGATGCCTTTTTACATAAAATGGCATAACTATTCAACTAATGAAGCTATTTAAATCAATGTTTCCACAGCAACAGTGTTCAACTGAAAGTAAAGAATTTAGTTATTTATTCATTTCCACTAAAATAATTAACATCTACTTTTAAAAATGATAGTGATGACAAGAGAGTAATAACCTCAGTTGAACTGCCCTGAATGGGAAAACCTTTTCAATACCACTTCATTGAGTGCATTAAATAACATTGTTATTAAATACATGAGTCATTTTGAATTGCAAATGGGATATCTAGTGAATATTGAGTGCTGGGTGGCCAAATGGTCTAAAATGAGTAAATCCTAAGCTTGTGGACTGGAGCTCAATCCCCAGAAAAAGCATAGACATGCAAAAACAACACCAGCCCTATGGGTAGATGGAACCTTGAATGACAACTCATCTAAGAGAAAGCAAACTCTGAAATCAAAACCCCGTAGGTGATATGACATTTGAAACAATGAAAATTCCAACTTCCTTATCATGGAATGCAAAAAGAGCACATTGAAACACACAAGACACACTGCTGGTCATCTGCTGCATCCTGGTCTATTTCCATTGGTTTTGACTAAGTCTTGCATTGGATGAAATAGGCAAGGAAGAGAGAGTGAAGCTGACATTGAGAATTGAACAAATGTCCCTCACTTTAAACAAAAATACAGTTCAGATCATTGAATATGAAATTTTATTAAAATTCTTTCTTTTGTTTGTAAATAGCTTTCTTAAGCTACCGGTATTAATAATGATAAGAACATTTTTTTTTAAAATTTGTATTTGTCAGCATATACATAAATTTGTAACTACTCATAACTTTAAATATCTAAGTTGTTTTTTTTTTTTTCAGATTCCACAAGAGTATATTTCCAAAGAAATTTTTGATGCTATTCAGAACTTTATTATAACAAAGCAAGAACTTCTAAACAGAATAATTACTGTGTAGGTGTCACAGTTATTTAAATTTAAACATTTTTATTTACTTTTCCTGTTTAAAGCTTTATACTTGTCCAAGGTGGCTATGTCTTGTCAGTCCCAGAGATATCCTTTTCAAAATGAACATGAAAAGGATTTTCTAATTAATTTGAAATTATGGCCTATCCTGATTTAACGTTTTTTTTCTTTTTAATGCTGGGAATAAAGTACTTGAGCAGGTAACATTTTGAATTTTTTTTATAAACGTTTGGAAAAAACATAGAAATGTACAATAATAAAATTCTTTTTTTTTTTTTTTTTTTTTTAAAAATTTATTGATTTTTTATATTTAACAGTGTGGATATAACATCCAATTTTTACATTTGACATCTTTTTTTCAATATTAAATGTTGTTTTGTGAATTCATCAAATGTAAATATACAGCAAAAGAAACATAATATAAATACATCCTTAAAAGTTCAAACAAATGTTTAATGATTAAACGAGATTTTCCATATTTGTGATGTCATGTTTCCAGGACACTTTAAAACATATTTCTTGAGTACCGTAGTTGCTTTCAGCATTTAAATTATTAAATCTTAAAAGATTTTTATTTTAAACATATTTTTAACAAATTATTCAGGACTTCCTTTGGACACAAATTTGTTGGATGTCCAATCTCTATTGACAATGACAAATATAAGCGCAATGCCTTTATTTTCAATGTTTGCTTTGTCTTTGATGAAGACACCAACACATCTGAATATGGTCCTGTGGTTAAAAAGCTTGCAGATTATTTAACACGGATTGAGGTAATAAAATTATGTTCTTCTTTCTAATCTTTTCAAGAGTTTTTTTTTAAGATTTGGTTTCACATATCCACCTGCTAAAATTATATTGCATAATATTATCCATTATATGTGAAAAAAAGTTATAGTTAAATTATTTTAGTGATGATGGTAATTTTTAGAAGATATTTTTTTTTGAAGTAGAGTTTTACTGTCTTATGTGCAGTTTAAATATTATAATTATATAATATCGTTTTAAAAACAATAGGAAAATAAAATACCATGAAAAGGCTTTATAATTTTTAATTTATTTTTGCAAATATCTTTTGACAACATAGGTTGAAATCGCTTTCTTGTCTGAACCAGAAAATACAAAAAAAGTTACAGAATTCTTAAGAAAAGTATTAAATGGCCTTAATCAAGATGGATGCTTTCACATTAATATGGGTATTAAATGTTACTCTATTTAGCTGTTAAGGGCAATTAGAAATATTAGATAATAGTCCCTATTGATTTTTTTATATTCCAAATTATCTCATCAAAAATTATTCTTTAAAAAATGTGTAGCCTTTAATGGTTTTGAAATAACAAAATTTATTTGTTTCTCTTACTACATGTTTTGAAAAATCGTAAGTTACAAAGTGGTCATACATCAAAAGCCATCCCACTTAATATTTTCTCAAACCAACTTTATTATACAATCAGCAGTTAGTCACAATTTTAAATGAACAGATCAAAATGTAATATATTTCAGCTAATACGTGTATGGTTCATCTGAAGCTTGCTGTAACTATTCATGAACCTATCTCTGTGGAGGACCATGACGTGCCCATACTTACAGCACCTAGAGATGTGGTCATGAAACACCAGTGGGACCTCACAACACAGCAGGTTGGAAGAAACTCTTAGCCAGTAAATTAATATTTAAGATATGCAGTATTTAAAGTAACACAATCGAAAGGGTATTTGAAGTGTTCAACAGAAGTACTATATAATATGTATGATGTCATTAATGTCAAGAAATATTTGCTTTAAAAATTCTTTATATAGTAGCTTTTCCATTGGTGAATGGTAAGGCACTTTCCTGTGAAAAGAGCTACTACCCCTCATTACAATTTAATTACAGATGTGTGTTTGAATAACCTTTAACCACTTAACCCTACTTTTAATGTGAACACTCTCATCAACCTAAGCAAAGGGATACACCTGCATTTGTTAATAAACATATATATTTTTTTTAAATTCTGGTTTTAATATTATTTTATTAAGTGCCCTATAAAAAATTAATGAAAAATTAATGAAATAATACCGGTAATGAAAATGTGAAAAGTTTTATATCATTAAACAGCCAATTTGGCAAGAGTGGGTAAAGATGTGTGATCTTTTTAAAAACCTAGATTGCTCTTAACTTCAGTGAATGTTGTAAAACTGTTGGACACTTTATTCATTTCTTTTTCTCAAAGCTAAGGTATCTCTAGGTTATAAGGTAATTCTTCATATGCAAAAATTGTATCAAAAATCATATTTTTTTACCAGTTGAACTCATACTTTTTTAGAACCCCTTCCCCTATGCCAATTTAAAAATGAGCTACTCAACCTCTCACCCATCAATTTTCCTATGGACAATTAAAATTGACAATGCAGTTAAAAGAAGTCACAATGAACCATGTTAACAATTTTTGCCATGGGTTCTCTGTCCTTTTTGTCACCGCCAGTGGCTGTTCCGGCAACCCAGTATCAAAATAACTACGTTGTATTTGTATCTTTATTCACAATCTTTGGTTCCGCTAAAGGAAATAATTATGTCACAGAAATATATGGTGGTCTAAATTTGTCTCTAGGTTAAATATTACTATTTTGATATCTAGCGTGTTCATTTGTGAATGCAGAAAGCAACAGTATTACAATAATTTTTAAACATTTTGTTGAGATTTTTATAGCTTTTGAAAAAAATTTGAAATCATGGATTTCTCAGATTTTTAGGTGACAATTGGTTTTATTAGAGTTATGGTATAATGTGAATAAAGAAACATTTTTGAATAACCATAAATAACAAAATTTGATATGTAGGCTTGGTGACCAAAAAAAGTAGGTTATGAGGCTGGTGTAGCTGTATTCATTTTGGACAATTTTTAAATAAAGTGTTTTCTTTATTTTGATCAGATTCTCCATTATGTTGACGGCATGTCACATGTGCTTAAAATTGCTGCAGATGCTGATGTTGAATTGAATTTAGTCAAAGCCAATCTTCAAAATCTCTTGTAAGATATGTCATGTAAATTTCAAGAACTAATTTTGTATATTTTTAATTTTGAGAACAAAGCTTTAAATAGAGCAAATCTGAAATTCTAACTTCAAATAGCTCTACAATTGTTTATAACAATTTAAAATTTAAGTATTTTACACTCCTTTGATATCAAAGAGTGTCACTTAGTTCATCATGACTTGCAAAACATTAGATGTCTTGAAATTTGGGGTGTTAAAAAAAATTCTTTCATGTGTTGATTTACTTGTTATATTTATTTTCCCTCTTGATCCAATTGACTTTATTTTAATATTTTGTATTTCTCCTGCAAGATTTTTAAATGTATTTAGATGTATTGCTACTTTCCTCTCTACTTCAGACACTACAAATTTATGAAACTGGTCTCAATTTTTCAGGTAATCCTAATGTTTGTTAAATTTTTAAAATGTAAAATAACTACCCGGTATTATTAAAAATAAATAAGAACAATGAAAGCATTGTTCTCGTCTTCCCCGGCTTCTCCTTGCCCTCACCCCTAATTTTAGTTGGTAATAACTGTTATTTCTATTAAATAGATTCTCCCAAAAGCGCACGGTGGTGTTTTAAAATTTTTTTTATCCTAGTTACAATACATATAAATGTCATACACAATATTTTTCACATTTTTTGCTATTTTAAAATGCTGTAGTATTGCAAGCTTATTTGAAAACAAAATTTGTTACATTAGAATTACAATTGACTCTCATTGCCATCACTTCCTTGGTTATAATGCACTTACAATACATGGGATTATTCGTTTGTCACAGTACTCCAATGTGTACACAGTGACACAAGACATTAACAAATTAATGGAGGATGTCAACCTGCAGGAAGAATGTGTCAAGTTCGTTGCAAAATCAGGTAAGCTTCTACAATCCCTTCTAAGATCATGTTACAATATTTTGTCTAATATATTTGCAGAATCAAGTTGTTTTAAAATGATTAAAAAAACACTATTTGTGATTAATACTTTTCTTTGTGATTAGTGCTATTAGTGTGATTTTTTGCGTACCGGTACACTATTTTTTAATGTATTTCATTCTTTTAGATAAATATGAGACAAGACAAGCAAAACTTGCATCCCAGTTTGTTACATTAGATTTATTGTCCTTTTTTTTTTAACAACTGGATGACCCCTGTTTATATTTATAGTGCCATCAAATTTGCTCTATGTTTTATTAGACCGTAGCTGTCCAGAGTTTCGAGATGTGTTCATGTTATACTGTACCTTTACACCTGGGACCACAGTGAAAGATTTATGTGTCAGACAGATCAACCCACACATTCTCAAAGTGGATGAAAGGTCAAGTCATCGTGATAGTGATAGCATTTACTAGGATGATGCTAAGTACACAACTGATCTAATGTTTTTTTAATGTCTCCTTAGTTATATCTCCTTTCATAAAATGTTTGTTAATTTTCAAATTCACCTTGTTATTGTGAAGAAAGCTATAGATATAAGTTTGATTTTTTAAAAATCAGTAATCATTTGTTATCTGAATTTTTCTTTAATTCTTTTAAACACTATGAATATAATTTGAATCCAATTTTTTAAAATTGTTTATTGTTGATTGATAATTACATTTTTTATATTAAATATTGGATTAATATTAACTTACTTTCCTATCCTTTGGACATAGCAGTCTAAAATATATAAGTATAAGTCCATTTAACAACTAATATGATTCTTAAACCAGACATTTCAGGATTTACTTTATAATATAGGGTAGTAGGTTAAAAACTACAACACTTCAGGCTATACTTGTAAATATTTTTCTGTACCAGTAAAGCATTGCGACTTTATCAGTTTTTAACTTGACAGAAAGCTTGTGCAATTTGGACTGATTAAAGGTCTACTCAGACGAATGCACAGATATCCAGTGGCCCTGCCAGGGGAGCAGATAACATGTAAGACCCAGCTGCTTCTTCGATGGTTGGATGGTAAACACAGTTTTGATCAGATATGTTGTGAAACTGGTAAGTGCTGCCAATACGACATATTTTTATGATGATATTATTTGTTGGTAGGTGTCCTGGTAGCCATACAATGGCAAGTGTTAAATTCCTTGTCTTTAGTCCAGGGTACCTATCATTTATAATGTACTCAAGAAAAAACTCAACACTTTTGAATGTTTGATCAGATATGTCTTTGTTCAGTTACTTACACAGATGTTGGCACTACAAACTCTAATATCACAACTGCTCAAGACTAATCTGGTCACTCATCTGCCTACACTAATCTAATAGCTACACATTCTACTGTAACAACAAGACTAAAAATACATACACAAAAATTTAATACCAGTATCTTGACAACAAACATTCTAATAGGCCACACTATACATTTGAAACATACCGGTACTCCAAAACCCACAATTGACATGCAATCATGCCACGTCATATTCTAGCATCCTCAGCAAGTGGTCGAATTTTTTCCAAAATTTGTACCTGATTTTAGCATTTTCAGATGTCCCATACACAGTTTTACAGTTTGTGGGGGTCATTCTTTCAGAATGTATTCAACATTTTCATATTTAGATATAATCTTGTCATGTCTGACCCAATCAAAATAACTTAGCTTTGAGTAAAGTTTTAGAATACCATATCCTAATGGTGGTCATCAAATATCAAGGTCACAATTTGACTTTCTGAATGTACCTGTAAATTGCAGACATAAATGAGTTTTCAAAGTTTGTTTTCACCCCCAAAATTATTTAAGTCTAAGATTTATTATTTTAGTACCTGGTATCTTACTATTTATCTTTTACTGGAAGGCCTGGGGTATATTTCAGTGCATTCCCCAAGCAATGAACAGAACGGGCTTGGCAGAGGCGCATTTATTTGTATCGAAGCAAAATATTTTTTTAATCAACTTTTGTTCCAAATTGCTCTCATCAAGTATGATACATTTATTCCCTCTAGATTCCCTTCCATTAACTTTTACCCAAAGAGAGTGATTACTTATGGTATCTCAACTGGGAGAACTTTTATCATGGGAGCTACCATTATATGTATTCACCTATGTATTGTATGGCTACCACTTACTACCAGGACACTTTCAGTAAACAGGCCTTTCCCCCATTAATGTGATGTACGGTACCCAACATTACTGCAAAATATTTTTGCAGCCTGCTCTTTTTTGTGACTTAAGATGTACGAAGAAGGTATCAAAAGGGTTAAATTGTATTTTGTGTGAAGCATGTAAAAGTTTTACCAGTGAAGCAGTTATGACATGAAACTATTTAAAAAGAACTGATTCTTTTATTTCTCTTTCACTTTCAGGTTTGAGTGAGCATGAATTAGAAGAAAGAATTGATGCTGATGACTGCATAGTTGTGGCTTGGAGATAACTAAGCAACATGAGCTTTCTTTTTACTGAAAACTTGTGATTTCTAATGCAATGTTTGAGAATGGGTAATAAATGTGAGAATGTAAAATTAATGTGAGAATAGGTAATAAATAGCTCACTTATGAACCAATCTACCTATTAGGGCAACATGCTCAAATTATGAAATTAGACAGTTGAAATATAATAAACTGTGTAAAATGATTAATGTTACATTGTGCAGTTATCATATCTTATGTAATGGATATACACATTTTTAAAGTCTGTGAAAAAAAAATAAAAAATTTTGTGGCCATTCTTCATATTCTTTGAGTTTTACTTTTAAATCATGGTCTTCACATACTGTCTACTAAGCCAGTGGTTTTAAACATATTGACATTGGAAAACTAGAATCAATTTCAATTGGAAAAATATTTCACAGGCAGCTATAAAAGTTGCTATTTATATACATAGTATTCCATTAGGTGGTTTTAATATTCTTTAGCTATATTAATTAACCAGCCACTTAGAGGTAAAAAACCCATGTTAATAATGGATTGGCTTGATACTTTGAGTTTGAGACAGCAACTGAATTAGAAGGTTTAATTCAATCAAAGTGAGGTAGACCTTAAGGACCAATCTGATGACCATAGTTCTAGCAGCTTTTCCAAGCTACACAAGGCATTAGACATTAGAACTTACGCAATTCATTTTAATTAAGTTAGCAGCGTCCATAATTTTAAAATGTTTTAAATCTCCAAAGCATGGATATTTCTGTAAATTATAAAAGGGTTTGACTGCGTTAAATCTTTTAAATAGATAACCCAGACACAAAAAATGTGTGTAGATAAAACAGTACAAGTATGCTTTAATCAAGTTCAAGACAATTAAACCAAGTTTTAGAACAGATAACACAAAAGAAAGCAGGGCATATACTACCAACTATCAATCTTGTAGAATAAAGATTAGAGGCAAAACATTTTGTGCTTGATTCATGCTTACAGAAAAAATGGTTACCTGAAAATTGATCAAAAGAAATTTCGTCGACGGAAATTTGGTCTAATCTTTTTTTCAGTTCACAAGTTAAAATTTTGCGTCAAATTTCTTTTTGAACACACTATAAATTATAAACTATATAGTAAAACAAAGTAATGCCAAATGCCGCCAGGACCAGACGTGGCAACCAGCGGCGTACCTTGACTAAATGCCACCAGGACCAGGCGTGACAACCAGTGGCGTACCTTGACTAAATGCCACCAGGACCAGGCGTGACAACCAGTGGCGTACCTTGACTAAATGCCACCAGGACCAGGCGTGACAACCAGTGGCGTACCTTGACTAAATGCCACCAGGACCAGGCGAACTACCAGGGACGTACCTTGACTAAATGCCACCAGGACCAGGCGTGACAACCAGTGGCGTACCTTGACTAAATGCCACCAGGACCAGGCGTGACAACCAGTGGCATACCTTGACTAAATGCCACCAGGACCAGGCGTGACAACCAGTGGCATACCTTGACTAAATGCCACCAGGACCAGGCGTGACAACCAGTGGCGTACCTTGACTAAATGCCAGCAGGACCAGACGTGACAACCAGTGGCGTACCTTGACTAAATGCCACCAGGACCAGGCGTGGCAAAATGCGAGATTAATTTTTTCTGATCTGAGCAATATTATAATATACAGGTATTAATCAAGTTACACTTATTGGATAGAGCTAGACGAAATTTGAAATAAATTCATCATAACAATTTGAAGGATTTTGAACTCACAACTGTACGGGCTAGCTAGTCCTAGAGATACTCATATCTCTTAAATTTTTCTCCCGATTTCAATGGGACAACTTTTATCTTTTAGATTATTAATTGGATATAATAATTAGTGGTCTTTTATATCGCGGTACCCCAGCCTAGGGCTGGGCTCACCGAGCTGTACATAAAAATATTATCAAAAGAGACATAATCATGACATTAAAATACAATACAATTACCGTATGAAATAAAGAACAGCATGATACCCAGGACTTTTACAAGGCAAACCATGGACGGCAGCCAACAAGATCATTTATCGGTCAGAGGAGGGGATCAGTCAGGGTAGTATAGTTTAGCATCCACCATTTAGGGGCACTATCTTAGTGAAATGTCTACCGTAATAAAATAGTCACGTATAATTTTAATGGAGAATTATAGTGTTATGGTAATGAGTTTTTAATATATTAAATAATTAATACAGTAGGTGCATTTGGTTTTAGAAGTGTTAGTCTCGACTACTGTACTTAAATGGATCCATTTTTTAAAACAAATTACAGTATTTGAAATGTGTCGATTGCCTTTGGTGGAGTGTGCTTCCCATTCGACTGTTGATTGCCTTTGGTGGAGTGTGCTTCCCATTCGACTGTCGATTGCCTTTGGTGGAGTGTTTCCCATTCGACTGTTGATTGCCTTTGGTGGAGTGTGCTTCCCATTCGACTGTTGATTGCCTTTGGTGGAGTGTGCTTCCCATTCGACTGTCGATTGCCTTTGGTGGAGTGTGCCGCCCATTCGACTGTTGGTTGATGAAGTGTGCTGCCTTGGCATGGTATCAATTTATTTTCATCCTCAAAGAGATTTTGAGTTTTAAAATTATTTTTGCAAACTATGTAGGATCAGTTGTCAGTGGCCTACTTGGGGGATGGCAAAGGGGTGACACTTTTTGGTATATACCGGTACATATAACTATAACATTAGGGGGCAGTGGCGTATGCACAGGATGTGGATGGTCCATCCGCAACCGGCACTTATTATTTCTTGGGGGGGGGGGCACTTCATTTTCGGAAAACTGCAGAGGTTATTTCACTCATGACATTAAATGTGTCACCTATTACATCATCGCCTGGAAAATTAAGTTTTAAAATGTCTTCCTTTACACAAATATACTGGCTGGTCACGTGAGGGCTTTATAATTATTCGGTTGGTCACGTGACGGTTATGACCGGATACTTCCTGTTGGTTTGCCATCTTAGAGCCATCACTATCAATCGAGAAATGTCCCATATTTTGAAGACTTTCATGAACCGGTAGCGTTGAAGAAACACGAAGAACATACCCCTATCTTGAAAATTAAATTTTCTTGTAATATTGCTTATTTTCGATCTTTCGGTAAGTTTTTTGATAAAACGCATTCTCCCCAACCGTTCCCTTTTTGTACAATACGTGTCTTTGCACTACTTTTTTTTTTGGTTCGGCCGCCATCTTGGTTGACATGATCCGTGACCTTCTCACGGATCATGTCAACAAAGATGGCGGCCATGCTTGGGAAACCCCGGGTACCACTCTCATCATTTACCCATACCGAACAATGTTACGTAAAGCTAAAAGCAAGGGGCAAGTAAGAATACATGTTTATAATTTTATTGTATTTTTTAATTCTATTTTAAATATAGTTCTATAGGCTATAGGTAATCTACCACTTGAGCGTCGGCCAAGAAAAAATCCAGCACCCACTTTTCAATTTTGCTCTAATAAGCCACATTCTTTGTGCTCTGTAAAATAGCACTTTTTAAACAATCTAATCGATTTTTGAAAGCTTATACGTATACAAGAAGACATACCTCATTAACTTCACTTGACTATATCAAAACAATATTTAATTGATACAGCATAGACGCTGCACTAAACCAACTGCTACTTTAATAAGAACAGA